TATTGTGGAACAAAAGCTTCAATTGCACAAAAAAATTGTAAGTGCCTAATACTCCAATGTATCCAATTCTTTAGGCATGATACATGTACATATAAATCACAGTGAGATAACAATCAATACCATTTTTCCTTCAAGCAAATACTTTATATTGTCAGCTACGCAGCTTTCCTATCTTCAATATTGTTCTGTCTTAATTTCTGCGATTTCAAAACTTTGTGAGCGCCTCTACACATCTTGAAGAACCAAATCACATTTAAGATGTCCAGAACAGCACAGGAGCCGACCAGAACATACTGGACATGGCCTATGCTCTCATATGCTGGGGTGCCATATATACTATACACCATCCAGTAATAGGGCGGAATGACAGCTACTCGTGTTACAAAGAAGAAGATCACCATGGAAAAGCCATTCACCAAAACCTGCTTGGATGACTTGGGGTAGCCTTCTACTTCCAAAAATCTCCTGTTATGAAAAAAGCATGATCACATACACATACAATCATTTTATTTTAACAGCTCATTGCTTTTAAATTGTTATTCTCCGCCTATAAATTATAGTAACATTATATTTATGAGTTGAAGTTGAAAAACAGACAAAGTAAGGCTCTGCAAATACTTTTAAAAAGTAACAAAATGAAGTACTTAATTTTCCAAATGATGTTTGCAAATCAAATATTTTGATTTTAAATATTAACTATGGTATGTAGAAACAGTTTACCTCGTATTTACAAATGGTGTTGAAAATTCGGCAAGAAGACGAAAGTTGGCAAAGAACTCCAATACTCCGAAGGTCTAAAAAGAGTAGATATAAAGTCAATCATTTTTGAGCAGGTATAAATCTCATACATTAAAAAGAGATGTAAAGATGTCTTTGTAACAACAAACTTTTTTTCATTTTAGAAATGTCAGCAACTAACATGTATTGCATGTTACGCAAGCATTTGACATTTTACATATAAGGTATTTCTGCTCAATATTATAAATATTATAAATGTATATTCCATTTATATCATGAGTCTGAAGAACCAAAACCCGTGTGAACTCATAACCACAATACATTCCAAATATACTGAGCAAATGTTAAACTACTTAACAAAATGAATGGCTTTTACAAGCAATAAATCGTATACAACAGCTGACTTCAACAGGTTTCCACAAACTGGACCAGTTTTTTTTTCATTTAATACAAGGGTATAATGTAGAATTAACTTATTTGTGAAGAAAAAAAAACAAAGTTTTACACAACATAAGTGAGCATTTCTTAATTTTATTATGTAAATATGCCAAATTATATCAGTAATTTATATGCATTTGATAATTGAAACAAAAATGGCATACTCACTATGACATATACATAAGCATATATGGACGCAAGGTGATGAATAAAGTAAAAATACCCTCCAACTTCTTTGTAATAAATGATCATTATGATAAAATCTGAAAAATATGAAACAGGAGTTTTAAAATACAATATAAATATACTAGTACTTAAAACTGGTTGAATATTTTGTACATTTCAAAACATAATATTGAACCTTTTTTGGCTTTAATAGCATATATTTCAATTGAGAGTTCACACTAAAATTTCTTATTTCTCTTTTTTTTTTTACATTTGACTACTTATAACAATAACTGGCACTGGTCAAATGATACTACCTGAGACCAAGTATCCAACTACTATGGCACAAGTATGACGAACCTGTGGGCAGTCACCCCTGCAATAGAAAGAAAAACTTAATACAATCACATTTTTATTGATTCAAATCTCACAGCAATGCTGTGAAATTTCACATTCATCCATATACAAATTTTTGTTGTCAAAGGCACTGTCATTATGTAGGAAACATATGATAATATGATTCATTATGGAATAACTTTCCCTACACAAGACTTCTGGAAAAGTGAAAAAAAACATAAGAGTGACTTGCTAAATTCTAATGTATATAAATGAACCTACCACACAGAATCTTTCATTGTCCTCTCATCTGTAAGCAGGACATAAAGGCCACTAAATGACACAATTATGGCATGGACTCCAGATACAAATCTGCAAACATTAAAAGAATTTGTTTAATTTCATTCTATCTCTTTACAAAAATATGTAACTGTAAGGAGGAGGGGAAGTATGAAGGCAATGGTTTATTCAAGTTACGGACAAGAATTTTAAACACTTTGCTTGGACTTGCAAATAAATAAATAGACCCGTGACATTGTTTTCCTTCGTATTATTCAAGCCCACCACTGTCTGACAGATTCAGTCTACAGAAAACACACAAACTTGGATACACACCTGATATACAGCAACAAGATTTTCCAACTCCTGTATATTAAGTTCATAAAAATAACATAGCCAGCAAATGTGGAAATGCACCTGTTACTATTTTTCAGTTTTAGCATTAACATTAATCCCTACTTGATCCAATTTTGCAAATCCTATGGACTTAATAATTATACTTGTTTGGGTTAATAACAGCTGCACTATAAACCTTAAATGTCAAAGTGGATTCAATAAACTATGCCATTTCAAAAACTAATCAAAACCTAGCTTAATCAGCAGTTTAAATTATAAGAAGATTAGGCTACTAATAATTCATCACATGTACTTATCAAATTTAATGACTCCGTATTGCATAAATTGATGAAGTGTAGAAGTGAAAAAAAAATTGGTTCAACATGCGCCATTTTGAGATCAACTTACTTAAAACAATTTTAAGTTATATGCACATAAATATGAGAATACATTTCAAAAAGAAAGTTAATAAATTAAAGAGGAAAGACAACGAAAAACAATAATTGCATTGAACATAGTTTTACCTACAGGTTTTACCAATATATATATATATATAAAGGAAATAGATATCAGGACACAATCTAAAATATATACAACAGCCTGGGAGCAAAGCTGTTGAACTTTGAATTGTTTTCAATAGAACGCTATCATATTAGTGTTTATATTTGACAAACAATAAGATCAACGGGGATTCAGGTTTTATTTGGCTTCATGCCATGTCATGAGGGTTATTGGGTATCAAAAATATCTTAAACAGTATACTGCACTTAATTCCCACGCACTTTATGTACAAGTCATACACTGTAAATAAAACATATCTCCTCTGTGAAACAAGTATGCATACCGTATAAACACTTCTAGCCATGCAGCTATGCATTTCATTTTTTGTTTTAATTTAAGAAAACACAACCACTTATTTTATCAAACATGTTGTACCAGATTGTGAGTTAAGAAAATAATTATAATATATTGAGCTCTACAAGTAAATGAGTTAAGAAAATAATTATAATTTATTGAGCTCTACCAGTAAATGAGTTAAGAAAATAATTATAATTTATTGAGCTCTACCAGTAAATGGTGAGATGTTACCTTGGACATCTCTCTATACTTCAAAATACAATAACATTACAAATGATACCTATAATGCAGTAATACAAATATTATTTTAAAAGTCTGAAGAATTATAAGGCAAATTTTATATTGACTCTTAGGGGACAGGTGCTTCAACTACTGTAAAGAGGAGTTCTTTTTGCAAAACCATTCGGATATATCACGGAACAACACTGGTGTAATACTCACAATGTTTGGAGTTCAATCTGAACATGGAGCGGTGATTTGGAAAACTGGTTCATATACTTGGCAAGTATTTTCCCACAATACTGGAACAGTAATGAAGATATCACACAGCTTATCAAAGCTGTTGGGTAGTAGGCAAATGAGACTGGTGCATCCATTATCATCTTCTGGGACATTTCTTTATTTTTGTCATGAGTAACCAACACTGAAATAGAAAAAGAACACAGAGAAAAATAATATAATTATAAATATACACATAGATTTTTTGGAAAAATCAACAAACAGCTCACTGAGCTTGACCAAAAAAATTAAGGATATACCATTCTTTACCAAAATAATTACAGTTGAATTATAAAAACAAGTATGAAAAAAATAACATTAAGTAAATCTAATAAGTCACTTTCTGCAATATGGCTTACCATACTCATTTATAATTCAAGGCCCTCATGATGTTTACCAATACTGATTTTGATGTAGATTAAATAATAGATGCTTACTTTGTACATTATTCAGGATAAGATATCAACACTCAACAGCGCTTGTTACGCAGAGGTTTAAGCATTTCTGGCTTTTTTTTACCAAAAGTTCATTTATTAAATATAGTCAAAAATTCTATTTTTGCACATGATTATACACGATTTTAAAGTTTATGAAAATGATATTTTTAAACATAAACTGAAGTACAAAAATTACCGGGATTAAAGATTTCCTATAATTCAACCATTACTTTGTAGAGATACAAACTACAATATATTTGCCTTTTTTTTTCCCCCATTTTTTTTTCATTTGACTTCAACCACACAGCCTTTTTCTGAAGCAGTTCAGTGTGAGTATACTATCAGTAAAGTCCAAAAAAAAAAAAAAAAAAAAAAATACATACACGTGTAATATCATGCACGAGCAATAACCCTAACATTACTTCTGGGGGCACATCATATATACAGTGCATTGTACTAGAGTACCAGTACATCAAACCACAGCTACAAGCACAGTATGTTGGATGATCGATAGAACAATGCATATTGCATATCTTCGTCAAAAACTAGGAAAAAGCAGTCTATGCAGTAAAAGTCAAGTTTAAATAAAATACTCTCCACCATATACGTACAAAAATCAAAGTTCTGCCACCTACCAGTATATCTTCATTGTGGACTTCGACTCTTGTACTCCGACCGTCGTCTGAAATCAACGTAACCTGAAATTACCTTAACGTAAATCGGTTGTCGTATATGTTTTTATTTGCCACATGGAAAGTTATTTAAAGTAAAAGACATTAACATATACTATGGATAGATAATTAAATGACTACATGATTGCTGAAATAAACAATGGTATTATCTTAGTCAATACAAACTATAAACAGGCATTATTTATGTCGTTATTAACAGGTACTCCCTCGAGGTCAAGGTTAATGTTATGGCGGATGTTTTGATCGTGCTGGCAGTCTTCCTGCCTATTATTCTCGTGTTGCTTCTCGCAAGAACATTTTCAGTCATCAAAAGAATACATAATGGGAGAATGGGAAATCTGCCGTACAGAAATATGGTTAATTCCGAAGTTAAAACCATGATTATAGCAGGATCCGGTAATTTCCTCCTTTGTTTCTCTGACTCAGTGGCACTCATTCCCTTGTGTCTGGTACATGTACCCTTATGCATGTTTTCTTCTTTTATTTTGCTTGTTAGAATAGTGGATATAAAAACCCATAAATAGAAGTGCTGGAGATTGATAATTAGAAATACACTGTGACTGATGATAATATGCAGGGGCGGATTTAGGGCGTCTGCTGGGTCTCCCGGAAGACGGTCAGATTTTCAAGTTTACATTGACGGGTATCTTATTTTTTCTGTCGGAAGACGGTCAAAAATGGAGGATAGATCCACAAAGATAATTTGGAAGACTGTCAGAAAATAATTCTGGATCCGCCCCTGATATGTACAACATATGAGTATCAATTACCATTGCACAGGTGACCGAGACTTTTAACTTCACATGCAGAAAAAAGTTTCTAATTACATTATGTAGTGACTTACTTTATCTTATGCAGACTGAGCAGAAGTGTGGATTTGTATCACAGTCTCAGATTTTAATTATACAAGGAGAGAGATGAGACCCAAGTGACTGTTAACATTACAAAATTCAAAACTCCCTTTATTTTGATGAAACCCCAGTATTTAACCATATACTGAGTATCCTATTCCATCAGTTAAACATTAGGAATAAGTGTCTCTGTGTCTGTATTTGATTATTTTAATTATGTTTTAGAGATAACATTTTTAGGAGTCACACACAGTTATGTTGCTCGATTTTATTAAAATATGTATGGAAGTTCTATTTTACTGAGACCAATAAAAATTTGTAGAATCTAGCATGAAATGTGTCTAGAAGTTATATCAGTGAGTGGTTAAGACCAACAGTGAAAATATTAATACATTTTTAACTTTTTTAATTGGAAGAATGTTCTTTTCATTCATATTCATTGTCTAAGAATATTGAACATATATTTACAGGTGGACATACCGCTGAAATCCTTTCTCTGGTGTCTGGGCTTGCAGGCAGAGACACTAACAGGGGCAAAAATAGATATTCTCCTAGGGAATACATAGTAGCCAATACAGACACAATGAGTGAAGACAGAATCAAAACGGCTGAGGCAAAAATGGGTTTTAATTCTCAAGTATGTATTTTGAGCTACAGGTTATATATTTTATCAGAATACCGTTAATTTGATACATTGTTGTGTCATTACTCAACCTAATTTAATGCAAGTGGTATTTTAAAATGTCAACAATTTTTGCTGTAAAATGAAAGTTGTTATTTTAGTCAATTTATAATGTAATAATGCAATATTGATACACTTTCAGTATTTTATAACCAAGGTGCCTAGAAGCAGAGAAGTGCATCAATCTTGGATAACCACAGTAATGACTACATTATATGCAAGCTTGTATTGTTTCCCTATAGTAATTAAAAGTAGACCAGATTTGGTAAGTTATATAACCATTATTTTTGTCTGTAATGAAAAAAAGTTTTAACTGTAAACAAATTTGTTGATATTTGTGAATATGTACTTTTATGTGAAAGGTGTAGAGACGTGAAAATTTTTGTTTTAAATTATGGTTCAAAAGGAAAGATGTCCCAAGCTTAAAACATTGCAGTGTATTTATAATTTCCTGAAATAAGAAATCTTTTCTTTGATGAAGTAATTTTTATAGTCACTAGAGGTCTTTTGAGTTGTTTGTTTTTGCTACAGTTATTGTGCAATGGTCCAGGAACATGTATTCCACTGTGCTTTGCTGCATTTCTTTTAAAGGTAAAGAAACTCTCAGTTTATATATTAGCCATGTTTGTGTTTCAGCTGCCACATTACATTTCATTTAGATAAATGGTAGCAATTGATTAAATCAATATAAAATGAATTGGTTTTTGTTTTGTACAATTAGCAGATTGCTTTATCAGATATTTAGTACTAACTGTCTTGACCAAAAAAGATGCACATAATTTATATTTTCAGTTGACAGGAATGAAGGATGTTTCCATCATCTATGTTGAGAGCATCTGCAGAGTGGAAAGTCTTTCTCTATCAGCCAGAATCTTATATTACTTTGCTGATCATATATTAGTTCAATGGCCACAATTACTAAAAAAATTTCCTGGGACTGAATACATTGGTAGAATTGTTTAGCAGCCAGTTAATTAAGTTGTATGATAAATGTATAGTTGCCTTAATGCTTCTTATTCTACTTCAAAATTTATGTCTGTGTAAATCATCCCCACTGTCATAGCATTTTGCTTGGTGCAATGGCACAAGCATTGTGATTCATCAAAGTCAATAGATATACAACATGTACCTCAGCTAGAACTCATGTCAGATACATTATATATTTCAGCTTCAATGTACATATTTGTATTTTGAGAGAATTATCCTGATTTAAAGACATTAGTTCACTTAGTCACAGAATCCATCAAGAGAATTGTGCAATGTCAAAACTTAAAGAAGCAGTGACATTAAAAATGGTATGAGATCATATTTATATTTTTTACCAACTTTTACTCCTTCATCAGTCAAATGTAACACCCTGATGGTGCTGTTAGCAGGGGTTTAGCTTGCACACACACACATACACACACTCGCTCACACACTCACCCACACAACCACAACCTCCCTATTAGGGTTGCTGCTTTGGTACATTAAGGTTATTGTAGAGGTGTGATAGGATATATCTGTCCTCATCACAGTTCACGGTGTTCTTAGTCTTTCTTATCCAGATGGATTCCTTATTAATTGATACCTCTAATTTTCCAGTCACTTTCATTTGAATCTCCAAAATTTTAGCACTGCCCTAGTCCACTGGATAACTTGACATAATGCAACACAAGAGACATAGTCTTTAGGTGTTGCATTTTATCTGTAAGAACAAAATAGTCGGTATGTAGTCAGTATTGCAATAGGTGTGCTGACCAAGCACATCCACTACACTTCATTTGCTCAAGGACTTGTAGTGACCTTGATTTGCATAAATGAACAGTTTTTCCCTTGAGTGTGTGCCAGTCTGCTGTGTGTTGCAGAGCAATGCAGTTGTCCAGAGTAATGCAGTGGCAGATGTGGATTTAGTTTATAGAAGCATAACGGTGAGATTTCAATGTATAGAATTGCATATAATTTATTATATTTCTATAGTTATATTAGAGGATGTCATTGTATTTTCTCACCTTAATAGAATCTTGGAATGTTTAGTGACAGGTAGTAAGTGATAAGTTGATGAGGACCAGATAAAACTTTTGTTGATACTAGTACTATTACTAGTACTTTTAACTCTATGTCATTAAGCTTTTAAAAATTGTGTTGTATGGTGAACAGTAAATATAGACAATTAGTTTCATATGTGTTTTCTTTGTTTTAGTTTCACAGCAGTTTCCTGTAAAATGTTTGACAATAAATGGAATGCCTGTTGACTTATGCTTCATTCTAGTCTGTGGCCTCATTGAGCTTCATAGTGCAACATTTGCAGAAGTGGAAAAACCTCCGCCCTAGTGAAAGTTTTGCCATTCTGAACACTCTGCCAAAGTGAAATATGTGTCTACCATGTCTGAGAAAAGAAAGACACCCACGATGAAGGAAGATATTATTAGTGAAAACGCTGAAGCACTTAAATTGTCCAGGGCGTCCAACATGGGGAAGTTAACAAAACTTTATCATGATATAGAAGTTTTAATGGTTGATTTTAGTAACTAATGAAGCTAATAAAAAGCATTAAACTTGAATTCTGTTGTAGCATTAGAAATTGTGTCATATGCTGAACAATACGTATAGACAATTCATTTCATTTGTTGTTTGTGTTTTAGTTTTATGGCAGTTTCCTGTAAAATACTGAAAATAAATGAAATCCCCATTGACAAATGTTTTATTCTATTCTGTGGCCCTGATGAGCTACATTACATAGTTATGAAATCTTAAAAGAATACTTCAATTATCCTGTTTTTATAAACTCCATTTTAGTTATGTTATTCACTCCTGTAAGTTTGGAGATAACAAGTAACACAGTTTTGCATTTAGTTGGTAAATGATAAAAGTTCACAAAATATGTATTGTGTCATTGTTTGCTATCATCAGTGTATGCTTTTAAAGGTTTGAAAATAAACAAGTTGAATCACTACTGCGTTTTAAAGTGTCAAAATAATTGCTTTTAACCTCCAAGAGAGCTTTCACCCCAGTTGTCATCTTTATATTAAATTGGAACCCTCCCCTCAAAAATGATGGAATTGCCCCACCTGGCACCCCTCAAACAGAATGTACTGACCCCACCTGTTTCCCTTCAAATTGAATGGACTCGCCCCACCTGTCACCCCTCAAACTGAATGGACTCGCCCACCTGTCACCCTTTTTATTGTTTTCCAATACAATAATCATTCGTTTCAAACTATAAAACAAATACATTTGGTGGAATATTTATTTATTGTGGGATGACAAAAAAATCATATTGAACAAAAAAATAAAAATAAAAAAAGGCTAAATGAACATTTAATTTCACTTGAATTGTTATTTGTACAGGACTGTTACTTGTCCTTGAATCTTGATCTTTTTTACTATACACAATCAAAATTGAACACAATTTATGTACTGTTTTATTTTGTTCAGCCATCACAGCATAAATATGAAAAATATTATATTTACACATGAACATTTTAACAATATGGCAAATTCACTAACTACAAATGAAAAAGAAAAATAGAATTACGCCGAAAACTTATTGAAAATAAGATGCTCCATCCGAAATTCGTGAACATCGCTAGAAAATGTTATATAATGCACTGCAACGTACCGCAATCTTAATGATGAGACAACGTCTAAACACAAAAATTTTAACTTTTACAATTTACAAAATTTAAGACAAACGTTTGATTGAATTTTAATAAGCAATTGAATGCACTTTAAATCAAACAGATGATAGATTCTAAAAATACATCAGTATCAACAAACTTTTAACTCTGAACCTTTTACATCAAAATAACTCTTCCAAAAATTAAAAAGCATTTAAATTTATTCAGGCAAATATGTTAATCATCAAAAAGTGTCAGATGATTACGTTTCCAGATAATGTAACATACAAAATTTACTTCAAAGGCAATTGTTTCGATAAATGATATGGAAGTTGATGAAATTGGTAAGCAGTCTTACTGGAGTTTCAATTAACGATATGGTGAAAATTGCGTTTTTACTTCCAAAATTGAAAGGTGCAATATGTAAACACTTTGAATTCCATTTTTGCATAAAATAAGAATATTGGAGAGAAAATAAATGAATTTCAGATAGAATCAGATACATCTGAGCTTATCCCATGAATTGATTTGAAAATGATCAAGATCAACCATTGAGGTAACATTTGAAAACAAATTTAAAACGGTAAATTTCTGTATACAATTTGAAAAGGGAATACGTACGATCACAATCAATAGTTAAATGCGTAAAAATATTACATGTAGGTATAAAATGTTTTGAAAAATCATTATAACAGCGTGCACGATTTTCACCATATGGTGTGTGTACATGTGTGTTTATGTCCGATTCTGAAATACGGGCAGAAGACTAAGGCAGCCTCTATCAGTCGCATGCGCATTTTGCAGTATCTCGGCAATGGAGATGGCAGTTCTGAAATATAAAAATAACGATAATGACACAATTCAATTTTCTTAGCAATAGGATTTTATCTAGGACTGTATAAACTGAAAATGAAAATACAAGTACTTGTGTTGATTTTGCAATGTTAAAATTACAATGGGGCAGACTGAACTTACGAAAGTTTGTAGGCCTAATCATCTCATGATCATTAACAGCAAATTTTACTTGAATGGCAGAACAGCCTGTTTCTATTGCATGTGAAATACGTTTAGGTTACCATAAAAATCCAAAAAATATCCAACGTTTTTTAAAGTTATCTCATTTAGTTTTTATCTCATTCAGTTGCAAACATAATTTATATTTTCTAAACAAAGCAAAATGCAATACAGAATTATGAGAACAGTAGGGTATCCTACATAGGTACCTGAAAGTTTCATTGTGATACGTCAAGTACAAATTAAAAATTGTTATTGAAATATAAATTTGTTCAGGTGAGACATTTACGTAGGCCCTATCTGTGAGTCCTAGGAAATTATCTAATATTTTCTTTTTCTTCATATTATTCATGCGATCTTTTTAAAGATAAGCAACGAACAGTTACTCTAAAAGACAATGGACCACACAAGCAAAGCGGTAATTTAAGCTTACAGAAAAATGAAAAAACCTTGGTGCAAGGAAACTCTTAGGCTTTCATGATACAGAATCTACTCACTGTTCGACAAATTTTGAATTAAAACAAGCTTTTGACAAACATTTAAATACAAGCTATACCAAACTCAAACCACAACATTTGAAAAGTGTGTGAATTACTCTTACCATAGCAGTACACATCAGAAGACTATTGCAGCCTATATCTGTCGCAGGAGCGCTTTAATTTGTAGTTTTGTAGTACCTCGGCAACGGTGTTAGCAGTTCTGAAATACGAAAGTAACGTTAATGGCAAAATTCAATATTCCAAAGCAATAACATTTTAATTAAAAGTACATGAACTGAAAAGGGCTGCCTAAACACGAGAAAAACGAATGAAAAGGGTCATATAGTTCAAGATTCAAAATTCTTCGATATTTCACAAATCTTACTGAATGTTGTTAACCGATTTCTGGTGAAAATTAAATAAAACCGTTACAACCAATACTATTGGTAACCGTTCTCAAAGCAACTGCTGGAACGAATGGAGCAGTTCCACCAAGAGTCAGATAATTATACTATCGATTACAGATTCAAATAATCATCGAATGTTTATAGTAATCTCATACACGATAAATATTATTTGATGAATGTACCAACTAACTGCTTCTATTTTATGTAAAAATGTGTTTAAGTTACAATAAAAATCGGGAAAATATCCTACAGATATGATGATTTTTTTTTTGTCACCAGTAAAAACAAAAAAGTGTCACCTTTGTCTTATTCCATTGCAAACATGAATAATATATCCCAAACAAAGCAAAATGCAATACCGAACCGTATGTAAAAATCTCACACGTACTCTTACGTCAAGTCCAAAAATCAGTAAACTTGTACTTTAAACTCGTTGAAAAATAAAATACAACCTTGGTGTAAGAAGCTTCTTAATCATACATGACAGAGAACACACTCAAACTGTTTGGTAAATTTCGAATTAAACAAGCTTTTGACAAAAATTTGCAAGCACAATTTGCAAGCTCTAATAACCTCAAACAACAGCGTTGGAAAATATTAGCTTTACTCTGACAATAACCGTGCATTCCACATTATCAAATTATGGACATAAAATATAACTTTTCATTCTTATAAGATAGTACCTTGTACATTTAATGTTACTCACGAGACCGAGATCCATTTGCTTCAACGCTGAATGAATATTAGGCTCTGTGACTTCACCACGCCTATCCTGCGCCCGCTTCTTCCAGGGTCCAACTGTCAAGTGACCGCGCAGTCGAGATGACAGCTCGCACTGAACTGAGCGGGTAATTGTTATGTAAATTACAACAGGTATGGCAAATTTTCATTGAAAAGTTGCTGTGGAAATCATTCTCACAAAAAATTGAATATATTGTACGATCTTACAGATTAATTGGTAAAATCAAGATTTTATGTGATCTTGAGTGCTACAGATTATTCAATAAAACGTTCATGAGTGTCTAAAAATAAACTCATTGCAGAATGCGCCAAGACCTAGTACGAATAAAGATAATTGGTGGAGACAGGTAAAATTCGCTCACCTGTGTATTGTCATGTTCAGGTAATGGTATGGCTCAGTCTAACTAAGGGGATTTACTATAGCTGTCACTACTATCTTGCTTGTAGATTTTTTGGACAAACATAGAACTCCTATTGTAGGAGTCTTTATACATGGCAGAGAACTAGTAGAAATTGTGCTTGAAAAGACAAAACATCGGCAATTTTAGTTAATACGATTTATGTAATTGCAATATATCCACATCTTTTGCCTCAAGTATTATTCTGAACGTGAAAAACGCCAATTTGTGAAACATTCATAATACTGCATAACTTCAGAAAAACAATCCAATCAGTTGTCGAACTTTAGATGTATTAAGTCCTATAATCCCTGTTAGTTTGAAAACAACAATTAACACGCTATTCTTATACTTATGCAATAAATAAATAAATAAATAATCCATGCAAGTACACGACAACGGGCGCAGTTGTTGGCTTTTCGTTCTGACATAAGGTGTCTGCCAATAAAAAATGAAAACATGTTGAATGGTTTTTGGAAAGAATGTTGCTTTTAATATTTATGAATCTCTTTACAGAACTGATAAGTACTTTTTGTCCGTTTATAACACATAGTAAAAGACGCTCAAGAAAATAGTTTTAGCGTTTATTTTGATACTTGTTATAATTTTCATGATTCATGTACAGTTACTAACAAAAACCTAATGTTTCTTTGCTAGCTTTATCGCTGAAAAGTTAGCTGAACAACAAAAAACAAAATGCAGCTGTCCAACTTCCAATCAGCACACACCGTCTAAAGTATTGTGCCGATTTATATAAGTTGAAATTGCCTCTACTTGAATACAATTGAACTTTTAAATCTTTTCCTATTTAACTGCACTTTATGTACTTTATTCATTTTTCAGGTGTTCACGCAACTATAATTCCTCTATAAAAATGTTTGATAATTGGAAGACCAGTGTTGAGTTGCTCTGCATTATTCTTCGAGATTCTTCTGGTTTAGAAAAAAAACATTATACTTGATAAACAGGCATTGAGAATTATTCCAGCCCTTTCAGGTCTTGTATGTCACACCTGTAATATTTACAGGAAACAAAATCCGAAACTCGACTGGCAAAGCGCTTCAATCATCAAAATCCTCAATCACAACTTCTTCTTCCTCCTGCTCTTCAGCGGCTCCTCCAACTTGGAGATTTGATTGACTACTGGGAATGTCAATGTCATCTTCTTCTTCTCTAAGGACTCTTTTATTTAGGTGGGGGACATCCTGCACTGCCAGTGAAGGTTCTTCATTATCCACATCCATCTCAACATCCTTTTCATCTAAGCGTTCTGGGTATGACCTGAAAAACGTACCAGCAGAAAGCATAAATAGATAATCTCAAAAGCAAAATGTAGTTAACTTTCTACTCAGGTGCTTTGGAAATGTTCTCAAATTTATTGGAATGTACTTCCTTTTTGATTAAAACTACCTGTTTCAATACAACTGACAAAGAAAAAAATTCTTTTCACCAAGTTCTAATATGTTCAAGACATTTTACTTTGTTACATAGGAATAAAAAATGTATATTCAACTAACCTTGAAGAGAACTTCGATAAGGAATACTTGCAAAGATCTTGGAGGAAGGTGAACTGACCTGAATCCAAATAAAATATCTACAGTTTCGCTGTATATTATTTTATTTATAACATACTCAAACCATACTTTTATATATGAATTTTATAAAAATGTATTTCAAATATCCAGAGAAAATAATGATAATGATAGAGCACATAACTTACGTAGTGGCGACATGATGCTATAAAGTGTACTGACCATAGATTACTTGTACAAGATCCATTAATGACACTTATAGGTCTTGCATTTTACAGAGAGGCAGAGAAAAAATTGATATGAATTAACATACAACAAACTCTAACAAATAACAACAGGGTTAAACTCGGCTTTAGTGCACATAGAAAGGTTCACCAATTCGGGGGCATAAACAAGCTGGACGCCTGTGCTATATTTCTTGGGCACATATGGGAAAAGAAAACCAAAGAATGTAGTTACTCAGTTCACATATTATTTTAAGTGTACCGTGTGTGAAAGAGACAAAATGTCAAAGTTTTTCAATGAACTCAACATACTTTTGTCTTGGAAGTTCAGCCCCATTAATAATACTGACATAGAAAGTAACATATGACATAAAGGGCTTTTAGCGCAACTCAAAATCTGCTGATAATTTACCTGGATCATGCAGAGGAACACTGGTCAAGGACAAATAAGGGAGATACTGGGTCTGAAGGTCCTCTGGGGTCCAGCTGTGACCTGAAAAATACATTTTTAATTTGATGATATGAACCTCACTACATCTTTTACAAGATTCCTATCAAATTTAACTTTTCCAGCATCTTTTCCATTTCAAAGCAGAATCTCTTTCTCACTTAACAATAAATTTTACTTTTTACTGTAAGTACATTCTTAAACTTACCTTTAAAAAGTGTTCTTGCTGCTAAAGAATTTTCTCTAGCCTGGAAAAAAAAAAAAAAGAAATTTATGACAATATACCTCCTAAAATATTTTCTTCTGCAGTTCTTTACTTCATTTGAAACATGAACATCTTTTAATCATTCACTATGTTTCAAATCTACACAAAGTTAATTACGCAATTCAACTGTTATTCATTATGTAAATCAATTGTTCAGACAAAAATGTAAAACAAACTCAGAGTCATTATTTTCTACCTTTTTGGCACTAGCAAACCACTGTGGCTTATGCAGTGGCTTCCAGCCCAGTCCAGAACCTCCAGTACTAGTACTGCCAGCTCTAGCTGAGTTACTGAACATGATACCCCTGGCTGCCACTGATGCTGCATACAATCCTTGGGATGTCCGAGACTAGAATAAATTAGATCCCACTTTAATCAATACGAAATTTTTTTCATTGCTCATATTGTTATAATATATCAACATATTGATTATACATATTTTTTTTCATTCCACTGAATATATTGTTATAATATGTAAGCCACTGATGATGCATAGAATTCTTATGATGTCTGAGACTGTAAAAGAATTAAAAACCAGATGGATAAGACAAATAATTCTAGTTTATAAATCATAATTTCATCACACATATTGTAACAATAAATCCTATAGCTGTCTTGAAATGAAAACACCTTTAATGCAATAAAGCAGTGGTGTTTTTGACTAAGAATTGTACACAACATTTTTATCCACCATCCATGGACCTTGTTGACATAAATGCTAATTTTACATCTGAATGTGTAGCATTGTGTACAACTCTGGTTATTTAGCCTCTAACTCTACTTTTGCTACCATCTTAACTAGAGACCATCAATAATGTTTAAATTTACATCTATACAAAATAACTTAGCATAAAAAAAACTGGCAGTGTGAAAATTCATCACCATTAATTATGATAAGACAGATAAATGCAAAATTATCAATACAGATTTTTCCATAAAAACTTAATGGTAAAACATACCCCTGCATCAGCATAATATGTCATTTTGTTACATTTTAACCTCAACTTTAATTTCAAATTTGAATTCTGAATTAAAGAGTCTACTGACGACACTTACCACCCAGTCTGAAGTAAGGAAATCACAGTCACTAATATATTCACTTGCCCTCACAACATCATCTATATCTGAATAAAAATCCACATAATTCTGCTGCAGATATGCTGTGAAGAAGTCTCCAGATAAGTTGGACCTTTCAATTACGACCTAGTTTTTAAATAAACATGATATGTATTTGATATGGATGTAAAGGGTAAAATATACAAACCATTTCAAAACGTTATGACGAAATTAAGAAGAATGATGCTGAAAACAGTTTCTTGTTAAAATCCTCAATCAAACATTTGACAAATGTTTAATATTAAACCTAACCTTACCCCAGCATATATAACCACATTTTTGCATAATCTTGTATAGTATAGTACATAAATTTTATGTATTACAGAATGGGAAGTTTTGAAAGGATTTCTTAATTACTGTCAGTGCTTTCAGGTCATTTTTACTTCAGCAAAATCTTTACCTCTGGATTCAAAAGCAAATCATGCCGTGAATACTGTGCTAAATGTGGTGGGAGCAGGAGAGCATCAGAACTGTCTGGGTCTCCTACAATGTAAAAAATATATATATAATGTTACTCAACTAATTTCCACTAAATTACTTAGAAAAATATGAATAGTGTATATATTAAGTTTGTATTTATAGAAGTAACACCTTCAAACACTGTTAATCATGATGATCAATCTTCAGACAGAATTTGTTAAATAAAATTTATCATTTAAATTTGCAGTGCCTAGTTTATTGTATCAATTTTTTTTCATAATTCAGCATATCAGGAATGGCAATTACTCACTTTTACAATGTAAGATCTTTCCCAGAGCCCTGAATAAGAATAATGAAGTGTCTTTCCCTCCAATGGCCGCAAGATCTGTCTCTTCCTCATCTCCTGCATTCGATGTGCCTTTTGTCTGCTTGGACTTTGCAGATTTTGATTTTGATTTTGAACTCTGCTCACTTTTCTTCTTGTCCTTACAAGATGACCTCATTATACTGGCCAAATCTGCTGTGTCTATGACAGTAACAGAATATACAAATTGGAAAACAATGGTTGTGGTATATAAAATATTTTAGGATGGAAACAAAATACTTTTATAACATATCTTTTTCATGAAAGAAAAGAAACAGTTTTCTTCTTGTGGAACTGATCTTTAACCATCATAATAATACTCATAACAATAACACTTTTTAAAATAGTTGTCATAGTGTATAAAAAAATAATAATAGAAATTTTGTTTATCTAATTTCATTTTCCTAACCAATCAACAGACATTCAACAATAAATAATACTTCTTGTGAACAGTACATCTTGTGTTAATTAAATCAATACTTTGAAAGTTCATCTTCACTTACCTCTAAGACAGGCAAACTGTAAAGCATTAACAGCACCACGGATATCTCCAGAGCTTGCATTGGCAATAGCTTCCAGAGTCGACTTACTTGGAACACTAAACTTATGGGCACCCTGACAAAGGCAATATGAATAATCAATGCTATCATATATACTGTGTATAAAATAAATATGAAATCAAAATCAAATTTAATGTAGTAAGATTTTTATCAGAGTTCAAAAGTCAACTACTGGCTGAAAATTTCCATCGGTGAATTTTTAGTGTAAAAATTATAAGTTGTTGGATGACACTGTAGGTTTTAATTTTCTTCTTTTTTTATTTCTCAGAAAACACTACAGAAAGCAATAAAACAAAAAAGGGCATATAACAGAGATGGCAAACTTCCTGTCATAGACATTGTACCTTAGTAGATTCAGTTGTAGCTATCCTTTGTAATACTTTGACCATACTTGTTGGCGCTACTGGATTAAAACTGAAAATAAATTAGTACAAGATATCAAAACATAATATTAGGTTGCTCACCATCAATATCATGTTTTAATTGCTCCTTATTAAGTTAACCATAAAACTCATCATACCATTATTAAATCGCTTCCTAAAACGATATTTATCAAGTTGACTTTAGTTATTAATACCAACTCACCTAATGTTGTATATATTAAGCTGACTTTGTAGATCTTTTGGGAAGAGATGCCTCTCATTGGACTCACCACCTGCACTATCACTAATTATAAATACCAGAGGACAGTGACCCGTAGAGACATATTTTCTGGAAATAACCATAAAATTGTACTAGTACTAGTAGTTACTCATTTACTAAAACATATGCGCTTCAACCTTGCTGAAAATTAGGTGCTATACATAGGTTGTTAAGTTTTGAAATCGAAGTTTGCACAGAATTTTTTTCCTTTAAAAATAATTTTAATTTTGGAAAACATCATCATTTATATACCTCAATATTTCATGGAAGTCTTTTGACTGTCTATAAAAGAAGTTGGGAAAATCCTGAAAATGGAAAAAAAAATTGACAAAAATAACACATAATAGTGGCATTTACTGTATTTCAGGCTTCATACTTCAAATACAAGCTAGAATCTATTAATGACATATCTCCATAATCCTTAAAAACATCATGTTCAGCAAAAAAATAACAACATCAGATCAAATCTGATTCAACAGATAATCAAAAAAGAAAACACTCCCTCAAGCACATCTTAATTACTTATACCTTGCTGAAAATACCAACCTCTACTAGGACAATCTTTCTGCTGTGACAGCGGTCACCTCCAAATATCTGAAGAGTTTGATATTTATTGGCTCTGAGAAGGAAATCCCTAAATACTGTCACCTGAGAATTATGTGTGGGTCCTTCCACAGGCACATAATCTGAAGGAAAAAAACAAATCAGCATTAAATAACCTAAAATATTTTATAAAATGTATCATGTTAAAAGAAATCAATGAACGTAATTTCAGGACAACTGTGTGAAGGAAAAAACACATCAGCATTGACTGACATAAAGATCATTTTAAAAAATGTGTTATCTAAAAAAATCTTTCAATGAACATATAAATGCAGGCCAATTGTGTGTATCTCAAGAGTATAAATAGCATATAAAAGTAGCGATAAAAAGCAAAAAAAAAATCACTGAACATCTAATTATTTGCAATCATCTAGGTGAAACATAAAGGATTTTTAAGTGTAACTAAGCAAATATGATGAAACCTTAAGAATATAGGGACTCCTACTCATTGCAAATATATTTCTAATCTAACCTTCTCTGTTGAAAGCAATTTCCTCAAACTGGGTAACAAGGGGGTTTACCCATTCCTGTATTTCTATATTGTGCTCCTGTGATAAAACATTCATGGTTGCTGTTTTTCCTGCTCCTGCTGGACCTGTCAGGAGCAACACAGGGGCTCCCTGAAAAAAATTGAATGTTATTTTTTTGGTCTGGTGTAGATTGGCTGACTAAGGGATGTACAAACATACACAAAGTCCTTACAACATCTAAATGGAGGACAAATTCTTTTTTTTTCAAATCATATCCAGAGTCTAAAGTATGTATCTTATGGCCTGGTGCACCTGTAACCACACATGCACGAGCAGTTATGAATGGCAATTGCTCAGAAGTTAGAACACGTAAAATTTCTAATGATTAAACCTGTTCAAACCTATCACTTGATGTAATGTATCAAAAAGTTCAATTGGTTTTAAATCAAAATTGTATTTACTCTATCTAAATGAGGGGTGTCTGTTTACCTGATGTGGTTTCCTCTTCAAATTATTCAACAACCAATTCTCTACCTCTTCTATCTTCTTTTTGTGGACGGCAAGGTCATTCTAAAAAGGAAAGGGGTATGCATTTAAACAACCAAGTCTACACTTTAGTATTTTGCTTGTGTAAAAAATTATAATTTTTGGAGTAAATCTATACCAGGCTGATAAATATTTTGCTCAGTCTAAACGGTTCAGCAAGGAGAGCTTATTTGCAAGCAAGCACTTATCACATGAAATAATACTAATATTTCCACATCAAAATTACATTTTTAAAAACTTTCTAATCACTGGGTCCAATTTTTATCAAGAAAAATGTAAAACATATTTTCTGATTGCTCATCAAATATAGTCAGAATGTGAAGATACAGGTAAATTCAAGGTATCACATCAGCCCCTGAAACCATTACCATCTTCAAAAAGTTTAAACCCACTGTTGAAAAGTTTCATCAGTAATTTCACTAGAATTGTAGAAATTCTTTTGTCAATACTGTGAGAAATAAATTGTTACTTTCCCAGCCTATTGGCATTTACATTATGAACAAAAAAACTTGTGCGTTTTAATCAAACCTTACTTTTGAGAGTGGTGCATGCTTATCAGCCCAGAGGTCATTATCCGATACATTCTTCCTTCTGGTTATGGCACTTCTTTGGCTCATGAAACTATGCCCCCTTGTTTTGGTACTTGTCTCTCTGGGTCTCTTTCTTTGGAAAGAATCACTGCTCTGGGACAGCAGTGTTTGTTTTCCAGCAGTGCATGATTTCACAACTGGGGCCTCAAAGTCATCAAAACCATCAAAGGCTGAGGCTACCCAGGAGGCATTGCTCTGAAAGGTTAACTTAAATAATGAATCATTTGTTTCTTTAAATTATTCATTATTTAACGTTTTTTTATTAAGGAAGCAACAAATGCATAGAGTAAAGGAAAAGAAAAGGCAAATTGCACAACTAATCATATAAGCAATGGGACACTGTGATAATATGTACTCATATCAAGAGATATGCAATGCATGATTTAAAAACCCTTTCATACTTACCTTTACAGTTGAAATTTGTGCAGGTATTTGACTTGTAAAAGTATCCAACTTCCTTTGTTTATTGACATTGTTTTTTACAACCGGCTTAGTTGGACTGAAAAAAATGTCATCTTCTTCATCACTCCACAAACAATCTACATCTTCTTTCTTCTAAAATAAAAATGAAACCAAGCATGAAGTCATTGGGGGGAAAAATAATAAAACACGAATACATCTTGTGGCACTTTTATTCTTCTGTACTTCCCCCACCCCCATCTCCCAGATTGCAGGTGGTTTTCTTATTTTCTAAGGGACATACTATATCCGATTGATAGTTGACAAGATACCACATTCAACTGTGACACAAGATGTGTCCCTGTCACATCACATTATATTAGTAGTGTTCTATTTCGTATTTGAACAACCTCACAAGACAATCACACACTAGAAAGTGACGGTTTGGGAAATCTCATTGTTATTCCTACATGTTTAAAAGCGGGTAACTTACCATTATTTGCTAAAATAATGACGGCACTACATTAAAGCACTTTTTGTTGCACCATCAGTTGCTTATTAGCGGACGCGACATTGAAATAACATTTCGCACACCTTTCAAACGGAAGCGCCATCTTTAAATGTACACGACTTGATGACGTGGATAAACACATATATCGATGACGTAGTGCACATCGGAAACCCGGAATAATTACAGATGAAAACAGAATCAGTGCAGTTTTTATCGGTTTATGGCATTTGCTGGCGATTCTTTGGTACTCAGAATCCCAATGCAAAGGAGAAGTCAAAACGCAGATGTTATTTCGGTTTCTTCGTGGAATGATAGTGTTCTTAGCCTCAACAATGACGGTGCCTCATCAAGTGCCATAAGCAATGCCAATGGCAATGAACATCCCACAGCGGCTACTAGTACTACAAGTACTACTGGCACTCGATCTTTATCTTCGGACAAGGGTACATTAGCTGCTGCTATGGATCTGTTAAAATTCAGAAAGAAGAAAAAGCACATAGAAACTGACCATGAACCAGAGGATATACTCGCCGGAATGCACAGGGTACATTTGAATGAATACACAGAACCTAGTCCAACGACTAGTAGTAGTAGTAGTAGCTTTGTTGATGTGGCGAATTCGTATTTGCCCGAGCACACAGATACAGACACAAACCAAAAGAAACATTCTGATAAGAAGCATCATAGACATCATTATTTTAGCCATCATAGGCATAAAAATTACCAAACTCCTGTGAGAACTATAAGCACTATAGATGCTGGCCCTCCAGTAGAGTATGTGCCTAATGAAGATCAAATGGATAAAGTGAAAACAAAAATTATGTCAGCATGGAATAATGTGAGATATGGTAAGTGTAACAAGTTATTTTACATGAGAGGATAGTCATGTTTAAATGGTGTAGTTGTAATTGATATTACATGTAGTTATAGAGTATTGATGGATATGATTTAATTTTTTTTCTGTTTTGGAACTAAGTTTTGGCCTCAATTGACAAGTTTTCTAATAATTATTTATTATTGTTTAAATATCCAGGTTGGACAGTGAAAACCAAGACTCACTTCAACCATCAACATCCTCTTTTTCTGCTTGGGAAATGTTACCATGCCAAAAATGAAGGTACATGTATATGCAGTCTCTAATAACATAATGTTTGGATTGATCTGTTTCCATTTCACTATCATAGAAACAAAAACATATATCAGAAAGTAGCCCATGATTTTTACTGGGTCAATAATATCCATATCATTTCTTCAATAAAACACAGTCCCAGTAGTTTTTATTTTAATGTGAGGTTACATGAACATTGTATGTAAATGTAGGGCATCATTTTCTATCTTTACTGTTTTCATAGTCTGTTTACCTTATGGTTTTTAATTTTTAAACAGTTTCATCTTTCAGCAGCCTATTTAAAAAATCAACATTTCTCATATAACACATCATTGCGTACTTTCCTGTTAAAATATATGAATCAACTTATATTTTTTTTACTAGTTGGATTTGAAACGGAGACTGATAAACAGCATCCCCCTGACATAGAGCTTTTTAAACAGGACTTCATCAGTAGGATATGGTTCACATATAGAAGAGGATTCCCCACAATTTCAGGCTCCCAGTTCACAACAGACTGTGGCTGGGGCTGTATGTTACGCAGTGGACAGATGATGTTGGCTCAAGCTTTAATTATGCATTTCCTTGGGCGAGGTATGGGTAACACTCCNCGCACACCTTTCAAACGGAAGCGCCATCTTTAAATGTACACGACTTGATGACGTGGATAAACACATAAATCGATGACGTAGTGCACATCGGAAACCCGGAATAATTACAGATGAAAACAGAATCAGTGCAATTTTTATCGGTTTATGGCATTTGCTGGCGATTCTTTGGTACTCAGAATCCCAATGCAAAGGAGAAGTCAAAACGCAGATGTTATTTCGGTTTCTTCGTGGAATGATAGTGTTCTTAGCCTCAACAATGACGGTGCCTCTTCAAGTGCCATAAGCAATGCCAATGGCAATGAACATCCCACAGCGGCTACTAGTACTACGAGTACTACTGGCACTCGATCTTTATCTTCGGACAAGGGTACATTAGCTGCTGCTATGGATCTGTTAAAATTCAGAAAGAAGAAAAAGCACATAGAAACTGACCATGAACCAGAGGATATACTCGCCGGAATGCACAGGGTACATTTGAATGAATACACAGAACCTAGTCCAACGACTAGTAGTAGTAGCTTTGTTGATGTGGCGAATTCGTATTTACCCGAGCACACGGATACAGACACAAACCAAAAAAAACATTCTGATAAGAAGCATCATAGACATCATTATTTTAGCCATCATAGGCATAAAAATTACCAAACTCCTGTGAGAACTATAAGCACTATAGATGCTGGCCCTCCTGTAGAGTATGTGCCTAATGAAGATCAAATGGATAAAGTGAAAACAAAAATTATGTCAGCATGGAATAATGTGAGATATGGTAAGTGTAACAAATTATTTTACATGAGAAGATAGTCATGTTTAAATGGTGTAGTTTTAATTGATATTACATGTAGTTACAGAATATTGATGGATATAAATTTAAATTTAATTTTTTCTGTTTTGGAACTAAATTTTGTCCTCAATTGACAAGTTTTCTTATACTTATTTATTATTGCTTAAATCTTCAGGTTGGACAGTGAAAACCAAGACTCACTTCAACCATCAACACCCTCTTTTTCTGCTTGGGAAATGTTACCATGCCAAGAATGAAGGTACATGTATATATGCAATCTGTAATTACATAATGTTTGGATTGATCTGTTTCCATTTCACTATCATAGAAACAAAAACATTTATCAGAAAGTAGCCCATGAATTTTACTGGGTCAATAATATTCATATCATTCCTTCAATAAAACACAGTACTAGTAGTTTTTTTAATGTGTGGTTACATGCACATTATATGAAAATGCAGGGCATCATTTTCTATCTTTACTGTTTCATCTTTCAGCAGCCTATTTAAAAATTCAATATTTCTCATATAACACATCATTGTGCAGACATGCTGAAACTGTCAGTCTGATCGGTCATGACCGGGAAAATTTGTCTGGACCGGTAAAATATTGGACTTGGTCAGTCCAAAGGACCAACAAGAGTTTTAAGAGCAGCAATTTTGAATTTACAGTCATCATTTGACATACTTCACTAACAAAATTATATAAAACCCAAAGCATTTTTCCCTTCCATTTCAAATCTGTCACATTCACAAACAAAGTAAGCTACTCTAATCGTACCGATATTATCCGTCTCAAACGAAAAGGGCGATTTACGATCTGACAAAAATCCATTCGGTCCAGCAAATTTTTCATTACTGTCGGTCCAAATGTCGGGCCATTCTGAAAAGTTTTCAGCATGTCTGCTGTGTACTTTCCTGTTAAAATATATAAAACAATTTATATATTCTTTTACTAGTTGGATTTGAAACGGAGACTGATAAACAGCATCCCCCTGACATAGAGCTTTTTAAACAGGACTTCATCAGTAGGATATGGTTCACATATAGAAGAGGTTTCCCCACAATTTCAGGCTCCCAGTTCACAACAGACTGTGGCTGGGGCTGTATGTTACGCAGTGGACAGATGATGTTGGCTCAAGCTTTAATTATGCATTTCCTTGGGCGAGGTATGGGTAACACTTCAATTCATCTACGATACAATTGTTACTGTAACATTGAATTTATTATATTTATTAATACAGAAATTGTGACTTATTAATCTTTAGGTTGGGATGTGAGTTATATATAACTACCGTTATATTGTTACATATGATATTGATTAAAATATTTATGGCATGTTATTTTTACACTACTCTGAACTGTGGTACACTGCACCATATGTGACTAGTAGCAATACTCTGTTATCATTTTCATCAGTCTTTTTGTAGGAAATTTTGCTGTTGGAGAATTTTTTGTTAATGTTAAAATGTCCATTTAATTACATATTTTTTTACTGTCTCTGTCGTAAATTCTCTAATTTATTTTACTTTCCCATATCTTCAAAATTTATCTTTTTCAGACTGGAACTTGTTTTTGGCTTCACCCTCGCGAGAACACGACACATTCCACAGGCAAATCATTAGGTGGTTTGGCGACTGCCTTAGTAAGAACACTCCATTCTCAGTCCACAGACTTGTTCAGCTGGGTAAAGACTCTGGGAAGATGCCTGGTGACTGGTATGGACCAGCTTCAGTGGCACATATCATAAAGTAAGTAAATGAAACAATGCAGAATGCATATTTCTGAATGATGTAGGGTTTGCCATGATAGCACACTTTTTCTTTTAGGCATGGGGTAAATTTAAACAAAATTGATCACAGATTGACATGAAATGTCTTTTTTCTTTAGTAAGTCGCAGTTGCATATTTTTGCCAGTTGTCAATAATGGACGTGCCTGGTTTCACTGTTTAAAACAGTAAATTGTGGACAAGATATTATATGGTCTTAAGATGGAATTGGATCAGCAAAATTTTAATGTACTCATTAAAAGGGTGAATTTTATGTTTAATGCAAATAGTTGAAAATTAAGAAACAGTTTACCTAATTATATAAAATTAATCTTATTCAGGATAGCAATGGAAAATGCGTTTGAGTTTAATCCAATACTTGGCCAAGTGTGTGTTTATGTTTCTCAGGATAGTACAGGTATTTAGTTTTCTCTCTCCCTCTCTTTTTCTCAAACAATCTCGCACACCAATACAAATAATTAGAGTATCCAAATAAGTAAGTCTGTGGATACTTTCCGACTGACTCACTACTCAGTATGAACTCTTATTAAATTGCAATCATGTCTTAGGATATAGAAATCATATTGCTAAGGAGATATGAAAATTAAGATGTTGGTACTTTTCACATTTGAAACCTGAAAAATCTTGTGTAACACCTAATACATACTATGTAATGACTTAAAACAATATCTCCTGTGTTTCAGTGTACAAACAAGATATAATTGACTTGTGTACAAAACGACCTCGGGCAGAAACCTTCAACAGCAGCACCTCCCTGGAGCATTCTTACCAGGAGACAGAGGGCGCCAGTGAGGACCACTGGAGAGCAGTGATCATTCTGATCCCAGTCAGACTAGGAGGGGAGATACTGAACCATATTTACACCCCGTGTATCCAGTCATGTCTTGCCTATGATATGTGTATTGGAGTGATAGGAGGAAAGCCCAAACATTCCTTGTACTTTGTTGGCTTTCAGGGTGAGGGGTTATGTCCTGTTTTGGTTATTTGTTGGTTAATGTATTTTATTTGCTGCTTTAGTTTTTATCATGTCCTTAACATGTAAGTTGTTACAACTTTTTAGTTATTGTGTTCTTTTTATATTTGACCTTATAATGTCTTTTTCTTTGTGTGTAGATGATTTGTATGTAAGTATAACATGTATGTTGTCTGGAGCAGAACCGATTGATTTTCTGAACTCAGACACTTGAAAATTTTACCTGTCAGTAGCACAGAACACTTGTATTTCTTTACTGATTATCAGTTTGTTTTGGTTTCAGATGAAAAGCTCATCCACTTAGATCCCCATTACTGCCAAGATGTGGTGAATGTTGTGACAGATAACAATTTCCCTATACAGGTATTGAAGTTAATTTTTTTAAATATCAAAAAAATGTGTTGTCAAACACACACACTCAAAAAAATTTAATGTGAATTTTGAAATTGTACCTAAACAACACCCTTGTACAGGGGTGGATCTAGGATTATTTGAAGGGGAGGGGGTCTGTTTTTTTTCAGGAATGACAGGCCTTGGATCCAAAGCCAGCCCTCACCCCCATGCGTGGGGTTCTGGGCCCGCTGAAGGGAGAAGCAAATTTTTGGTGTTTAGGAGGGGGAACCATGGCATTTGGTATGGTTCAAACCATGATTCAGCTAGTCATAATGCTAATTTCAAGAGGTGTGACACCCCCTAAATCTGCCACTGTGGTAGTAGTATACCAAGTACAAGTCTCAACAGGATAATTAAATGTATTTTTCACTACATACATGCATGTTTTTGTTCTATTTCTATGCCTTTTTGTTGCAGTCTTTCCACTGTGTCACCCCCAGAAAGATGTCTTTCTCAAAGATGGATCCCAGTTGCACTATAGGTTTTTACTGTAGAACCAGGCAGGATTTTGAACAGTTCTTTGTTCATGCAAAAGAGGTAAGTATCTGTGCAAATATACTTCTGTGAAGAAAATGCAGTACATTATTTGTTTGTCAATATAAAACTATCAGAAATGGTCTTAATATTATCTTTAACATTTGTTAAACCTGTTATGTATTTAATAATAAAAAATTTGAATTTATTTTATGTAATCTTCAGGCAGATGAAAGAATGCCAGAAAATTGCTGTTACACATTTTAGTTTGATAACTGGTATTGTTATAGAAAATAAATTTTTTGAATTTACATTTTTTTTAGTTCCTGTCCCCACCAAAGCAGAAAGGACAATACCCAATGTTCATATTTTCTGAAGGGCGCAGCAACGAAGTAAACTGTGAGTCATACCATCCAAAGAATGACAAGTTTTTAAGAGTGAGACATTTGAACGATGATGGGAAGCCACGTTCACCTTCAAAGGAATCAGAAGATTTTGTATTTCTGTAAATCTTCTTTTTTTTCTTTCACATTGGAAAGTTTGTCAAGAATGTTTTTTTTTCTTTTTGGAGGAAACCAAATGTACTATTGCTGTCATTTTCACTGCTGTCTATACAGTTTTGAAGGAAACTGTCAGAAAAAGGCTTTGTTTTTAAATGAGCCTCTGGTCAGCAGAACAGCAGCACTGGGTACAATTTTTCACCATATTACATTTCCTGTTTCTACAGAGGGCAGTTGACCTTTAAATTTATTGCAGTTGCAAAATAAGGTGTGTTGCAGGAAATAATAATTCTAGTACTTAGAAGTTATCAGCTTATAAGGTGAGCAGTATGTAGTACTCATCAGCAGTACAGCAAATAAAATTATTTGAATTTTTTATCATTTCCGTCTGTGCAACAAGGTCATAATGGTTGCAACTTCTACACAGATGCCATAATGCAGAAAAGATGGTAGAAATTGGGCTGTGCAAGATGCACATAAAAACATGGCATAAAGGTAATAAAATATACCTGACGTAGAATAATGCAAATTGGTGAAGAATCCATCACTGCATGTAGTTTAAGTATAGTTTAAGTTATAGTTTCAAGTGATCTTTTAAGATCTCAAGTTTTTGTCTAGCCAGGCAGGCATGAAAACAATGAAGTGTTTGAAATTTGTGCAATTTGTGATAAAAGAAATATGGTGCATGTTAGACATGTTATTCACCAAATCATTTGGGGAGAAATGTCAGTGTATTTTTATTTTCAGTTTGAAGATATTTAAACAGTGCTGCAGTGCACCAGTCAGTGCTAGTTTTGTCATCCCATGGCATGTTCTTTTTAAATGTAGTGAATGTATATATATAAAATTCAAATTATGATAATACAAATACAATGAAAGCGACACTGTAATATGAATTTTCCAAACGATGGGCGTCTATAAGTGAACCATTTACTGGCTGGATTATACATATTCAGTGACACTGTTGAGAAGCATTATCTTTTATTTTAAAAGCAAGCACTGTGCGTGATCTGTGATGTACTTACTTTTCATAGAGGTTTAAAATGAAGTAATTGTGAGACTTGGGCCCTACCTTGTACTAAAAACGGCTTCATCTAATCCTCTTGTCATTACATGCTGTTAATACTGTAACAACGAAATTGTTCATTCTTATTATGTAGATAGTGAAATGTTGTAGACAGTATACAGAATTATCAAATGTCTCTTAATAACTTCCCCTGTAAAAAGTTGATCATACATGTAGTTACCAAAGATTTCAGTATCATATGGAACTTTTAACCATTGGATGAAGAATAATAGAGCTGCAGGTGTAAGAATGCAGAAACCCACAACCTTTTGATTTAAAAAGCAGGGTTATAGAAATGAAAATTCTTCCCATCTCCTCATCAAAATTGTTCATATTATGTGCACTGGGAAAAAACGATAATAATATTAATATTTTTTGTTGATTCGTTTTAACCAACAGTGCACATTCATGACTTGTGGAACTATTTCACCTGCGGCAATGTAAAATGTACGAAGCAAATCTCATGTGTCAGTTCAAACTGGTCAGTTATAGGCATAAAATATCTTGGATATATTATGTGTAACAAGATTCTGTAAAACTGTAATAAATTAAGTTATAACGAAAATAAAATTTAGTGATGCAACAATTATGAAAAAGTTACACCACAGACCAAAACTTCAGTTTATAACTGTAATATTTTATTTTACAATGCAAGACCTAAACAATGAATATAATTATCAAGTCCATGTAATTGAAATTAATGCAATATTTTGAGCCAGTCTCTTCAAGCAGTTCACTGAAAAGTGATCTTGCCTCAAATTTGTTTAGATTTCCTCTAACATTTCAAAGTGACAGGCAACATGAACTTTTGCCCCACAAGCCTACTTTCAGTTCTTGATAAATCATAAGACAATCATCTTAACAACTGTATTTACCTGTATTTAAAATGAAAATGGTACTGTATGTAAATTTCAAAGTACAACTTCTACTGGAATACAAAGATTGTGACATTAAGCACCAAACTGCCATTGGTCATAATCAGATGGAACCAGGGCGGTCAAATTCCACTGTGATATACGCATATATATATATATATATATATATATATAATTTTCTTCATGCTTCGTTTAGTTTGCCTTGTAGAATCTGTGCTCCCTTGAACTCCATCTTACCCAGTGACTTCTTAACGGAGGTTAACCGTTTCTTCACTTCTGCAGACATCTTTTCATTGTTCAATTCTAAAATGCTGAAGTTGCAAAAAAAATGTATTAAAATAGAGAATGGGTACATCAACAAAAAAACATAAGGTATTATTAACTGAAGTTTCAGAATGACCCAATAATTGAAACAAATATCAATCCAGGCATCAAATTAAAAATCAAATCACATTTTACCAACAGTCTGCATACCTCCTGATTATAAGTTACAATAATTGCCTCTTTTCACAAAATGCACTCCACAAAACTTAAATGAGCTGAAGGTGCAGATATTTTTAAAACTTATGGCCTAGGTTTGCAAAATGTCAGGTGCAGCATATTAAAAAATGCCTTTAGAAAAAAAATGTGCTTACGTTATCAAAATAAAGCATCCCCTGTTACAAGCTGCCCAGGACTTCAGTGAACTCTCGGACACGGTTCTCAGAAGTATGTCTGTAAACAGTACTGAAAACAATAAAAAAAACATTACTTTAAATGCAGGTTCATATAAAAATTCAAAATTTCTCAGACAGTTAATTGTGACAGTTGTATTACTTTTAAGGTTTCTCAAAGGTAAAACAACTTACAAATACTTACTAAAATCTTAACCCTCTTCATTATTGGGTCATTCTGAAACTTCAGTTAATAATACCCTATGTTTTTTGTTGATGTTCACTATACCCTACATAAAATAATAACCTTTTTCATTCTGTTTAATCCTCTCAGCATCATTTTTTATCAGCTTCTTTAGAGTCATGTGACCTGCTGGGTGCTCAATAATGTGAAAGTTCTCGAGACTACCACTCACAAATGGCTCAGCGGCAATTTTGCAAATGGCCTCCATTGCTGCAGTGGGGTCACCTGGTGGTAAAAAAAAAATGCATTGCAAATAAAAATAAATTTTTCTCACTTTTACCTGTACATTCCTTTTTACACAACAAGTTATCTGAAATTAGTACATAAGGTTTCAGATTATTTGTTTTTCTAATCATCTTTCTTTAATTAGTAACTGTCTCTCAGACAAATGCCTCGATCTGTCATCACTAGACACCAGAGAGACAGAAGACTATCACAAAACTCACACAAAACGTGTCAAGAAAAGTGGGTCATCAACTGTTCTTACTGGCTGTCAGTCTCGTCATCGGGTCATCACTGAGACAGTCGAAATTTTCACATTTTCAAATAATTTTCAAATAANGTAGTGTCTGAATAACAGGGCAAAAAAAATTTTTTTCGTAAAAAATTTCATTTTTTTGAAAATTTGGGCCCATTTGACCTTGAAGTAAAGGTCAAAGGTCAAATCCAAGGGTATATTTGAAATCTACACATATGACTTTTGGAAAGCCGTCTTTAGAAATTTTTCCCATAACTCCTTCCGTAGGGTAGATAATTAGCATTTAATTTTGCCATTTTTAGACAAGGGTGCATTGTAATGAGTGCCACACCCAGACCCCAATACCGACAAAGCCCAAATTTTACGTGGAACGAGTTGAGATTATAGGTGACCTAAATCCATGAGATGGGTACGGGGCCCCTTACCGTCTAGGAGGAGAAGCGGTAACGGTAGCCGTCCGGCGGAGCCGGCGGAACGATCCGGACGGGACCGAAACCATGTGTACCGCCAGCGCTAACGCTGGTGGTACAATAATAATAATAAAATGATTAAAATAATCAAACTGAGTTAAATAATGCTTCAGGCAGGAAGAAAAATAACAGCCAATATAGTATATGCTGTAAGACTGTTTCATTGCACGTTTCATAGAATTCACAACATGAGCATTACTCCTTTAAATAGCAAAACTTTTAATTTTTCAAGAGATTTCAACTTTTCCCTGAATAACCAGAGTAAAGTATATCCAAAACCAACAACAAATCACGTTCTTTTAACTGGTTTTGAATTTTAAGTTTCCAATTTTAAGCCACTACCCTAAGTAATGGGCACAGAGACTGGTGAATTTAATCGTAATGACAATGCTGACAAACAAATTGCTTGAAATTTATATTTGCTGTGGGAGGCCTGGCATGCACTGTATGCTATCAAAATCTCTCTAGTTTAATAAAAACAAGGAAAAGTTTAAACCACCTACCTTCAGCATGAGTCAGGATATCCAATATAAGCAGCAGCCTAGAGTTGCTCATCACCAGTTCCTTGGTATGATCCACTATGAACTGCAGCAGAGGGCTGGACACAGCACTCAACAACTCTTTCCTTCTCACAGCCGCGTCTTTTTTACTATTATAATACAGACACATCATTTCATTTGATAATTTAATCCAGCAATAACTATAACACAGGACGCCTGTTTACAACCTTACAATTAAAGTATACTAGACTAAGTACCATCATATGAATAAGTCAGCATATATTTATTAGCAGTATTATGAAATATTCAAAATTTCAAGCATCATGGACACAAAATTTATTAAGAAAACCAACACATTACAAAAGTACAAGATGAAGTAATGATGATTGACTTGTATTCAACTATAACATCAGAAAGCAAAGTAGAAATATACACGAACACAGTATTAGGCAAGCTGAATGAGAACAGTCTCTGCTACCTGTTAGGGTTGGCATCTCCCAGCTCCAACACCTTGATCACATCAGGGTGGAAATACACCTGATCCCTGGGACTGAGCAGGTACAGCAAAACCTTCAGTCCATACTGGTCAAAGCAAACTTCATACAGAGATTTCAACATTTCCTGCAAGAGTAATAAAAACAAAATCAATGAAGCAAAATACTATTATATGAGAATAGGATCAGTTCAGGTAAGCGGGCAGGTGCAAAGAAACCATCAGGGCGT